TCTGTCCCTACCTTCTGTGTGATGTTGGATAGGCAATCTCATTGCTCTAGAGTGTATTTAGTGCCCTGACTTGTAGAATAAGATAGTTTGACTCGGTGGTCTAAACGGGCCTCCAAGTGCTTGCCATTCTCAAAGCCTTTCTTTGCTTACAGTATTGAGTCTCCCCAATCATAGCAAGTATCCCCACCTCCATTCCCTCAACTATAAAGTGGGACTGAGTATTCTTGCTTCATTGTTCCTACTATGGTATGAGAGGAAAAAGTGGCTAACAAGTATAAAATTGCCTTACATATAGTAGGTTCTTTTTTTTTTAAGCCACGCATAGTGGTTCGTGCCTATAACCCCAGCAACTAGGAGGTTAAGGAAGGAGAAAGTCATGTTCAGGCTCAGCCTTGGCTACATGGCAAGATCATATCTCAAAAATCAAAGAGAGAGAGAGAGAAAGAGAGAGAGAGAGAGAGAGAGAGAGAGAGAGAGAGAGAGAGAGAGAGAGAGAGAGAAATGATTGTTCAATTGTAACTCACTTAAAAGTACATTAATTCACCACCCTCAGGCAGAGGAAGCTAGAAAATCACATTTTCTAGAATTTCCATAAAGCAGCAATGGACCTTGGGACTTTGCAGACCGCCTAGTAAAGTGAGAAGAAGTTGGATATAGGGATTCACACAGAGCTGCTGCTGCTAATGACTCACCCTCAGGAGAACTATTTCTGTTGGAAAGAGAAAAAAGAAAAAAACCCATTAGAAGAATCGTTTGAATAGCTCTTGTCTCTACAACATAGAGATATCAGAGCTTCTAGGCCAAGTCTGATCAGAGGCCAAATACTTCCTCTACCATTATCTATTAGTTGTCGATATGAATGATAGAAAGGCAGACCAAATAGAAGCCTGCAGATTTCAAGAAAGATGAGGCATTCAGTAAGTGTTTAGTAAGTGTTGATCTAAAAGTCTGAGAAGATCCTAGTCTGTGTATTGCCCACTCAAACTCACCTTCATCCTTATTTAAGAGTCCAAAAGAAATCATAAAATACTGTCAAATTCCATTATGCTTCCATATAAAATATATTTGTTAGCCTTAACTACCTCCCATCTACACACACACACATACATACACACACACAATTTTATGTACTAAAAAATAAAATAAAAAGCTAGCCTTAGATATTTAATCAAGGTATAGCATGTTTCCCAGCCTCTCCTGCCTCCCTCCACCACACTCCCAAGAACACACCTGCCAAGAGATGTTAGAAACAGCTCTTAACCATTTAAAGTGGGAACAGCATCTCCCTGCCCCAGAGACCTGTGAAGAAAATAGTCTGCTCCATGGTTAAGCCAAGACCATCTTTTATTGATTAAAGGTCAACAAGAATGTAGATAAGTTAAGCTATGCAAAGACTCAGCATTATGAAACACCAAGTCCTCAGGCCACAAGTCTAAAGCTCATCATTTGAAATCCCCGGAGACACAACCTGGGGGAGGGACTGGCAATAAACCATTCCACCGGGATCTGACATGCAGATCAGATTCAGTGAAGGCACTCCCACACAGAGGGTTAGACTGGACTCTGAGCTAGCTCTATTTCAAACAACATCCTGCAAAGGTGCCCAGAGCTGAGGTATGTATTCCAGATGCTGGGAGCAAGAACAAGAGACAGAGACAGGAGGCAGATGGAATGAAGGACACAGAAGCACCCACCTAAGAGAAGCCAGTAGCTTGCTTCCAAGTCTCATTCTGCAAACTTTCAAAACAAAAGTGAACCTTGTTCCTCATCCTTTGTTTCTCCAGACCAGGTGATTGTATTTCCTACTGTTTTTATCACTGGCAGAAAGTCACTCTATGCAAAGGCAATGGGAAATGGAAACATTCCAGCCTATCTAAATACACCATCTGAACACCATGTTTGGTCTTAAAAAGCCACCAACTCCCTTTGAATCCAGGATGGGGAGACAAGAACAAGCTGGGTCAGAGGTTAGAGCAGAGCTAAGTAGGGGCAAGAGTTCAACTCCAGGGCTGAGCCGCTGGGGAAGGCAGCCACAAGGGTTAGAGATGCTTAGGTCAAAAGGTGAAGTGAACACAAGGCTTAAAACAGCAACGTCAACAAAACTGTGCCAGCCGCTGAGAGCCTGGCACAGGATGTCTAAGCAGCCATCACTGAGCAGGCAGGAGAAATGAAGTCATTGCTAGAAAACCTGCCGTGTGGCGAGGGTAGACAAGGAAGCAGGTGGCCAGCCCCGGCTCCTTACTTGTCACTCTCCTTACTGCACAGCTCAGATGAGGGTCCATGGTAGGTGACTAACAAGCCTTTGGAGGACAACAGAGAACCCAGCATCCCTTGTGGACACCAATCCTCTCACCTCTTCCATGTGTCCATCATCCTGCCTTCTAGGAAGGAAGGAGAGTGTCACCACCTGTCTGTGGCCTCCCAGCACAGTTTTTACTAAGTCACTAATCTAATCAGGTGCCGAGGACAAAAGTCCAGACACTACTAAATTGTGATGAAGGGCTGGGGATGAAGCCCAGTCAGTAGAGAGTATACATACATGCAGGAAGTCCTGGGTCAGAACCCCAGCACCTCATAAATAATGCCCTCTGTCTTTAATCCCAGAACTCATGAGGAACAGGAATTCAAGGTCAGCCTGGGCTACATGAGACCTTGTCTCAGAAACAAAGTACATTGTAGGAGAAACCTAATGAGAAGCCTTGCCAAGGACATGGAGCAGTCAGTGAGTTCTGGGTGTAACTGGCTACAGACAGAGCAAGCAGGGCTGGCAATGGGACCTCCAGTGTCTTGCTTCTACCACTGCCCTTGTGGCAGTGGTGGAAATGGACTGAACCTGGAACCAGCCAGACATAGCAGATGAGACTTATAAGTGATCCTGTGGAGAAGGGCTAGCCTCTGACCTGTATTTTTGCTTTCTGTGTGTGTATGGTCATCTCAGACAATCTACAAAAGGTAGAAAAGAGTGACCATATAGGGTATCCTGTGGCTCGTTTACACAAGTTGCAACCAGGCTGCTTGCCTCAAACAAATTGCTAAGACCTTCTGAAGTCAATAATTGGTGTTTCCATTGCTGTGAAGAGACACCATGACCACAGCAACTCTGATAAAGAAAACATTCAACATATGGTTTCAGAAGTTCAGGCCACTATCATGACAGGGAGTATGGCAACCTGCAGGCAGACGTGGTGCTGGAGTAGTACCTGAGAGCCCTACATCTTGCAGGCAATAGGAAGTCAACTGACTGTCACACTGAGCAAAGACTGAGCAAGAGACCTCAAAGCCTGCCCCCACAGTGACACACTTCCTCCAAAAGGGCCACACCTCCTAATAGTGCCACTCCTCATGAGCTTATGGGGGTCAATTACATTCAAAGTACCACAGTGGTGAAGAGCTGTCTCCTGGTGAGTGACAGGAGACCCATGGCCGGGCCACTAAACGGCACCCGCTAGGGACACATGTTGAGAAGATTACAGGTCTCCTCTAGGAGAGTCATTGCTTCACATCCCTGGATCCTGTAGGAGGGAGAGCATTCTGGGAGAGATATATCCCAGCAGAGAATGCTACACTGGTTATCAAACGACATTCCAGGAAGCTTGGGTGTAGATTGTAAAGCTGTCCCTGCAGGCCTTGCAGGGATGTAGTGGGAAGCTGAGCAGGCAGGACTATGCCCAGCCCATCTCACTTCACTCTTCTCTCTGTTGTGTGCTAAAGTCCCACATAAGACTGTTTCAAGGAGAGGGTTTAGACTGGTAATGCAGCCAGCTCCGTGATAGAGACCTGCCTGGCATGGAAGGGGCTCTAGGTTCAATTCCTAGCACTCATATCTCTCTCTCTCTGTCTCTCTGTCTCTCTCTCTCTGCCATATATATGTATTATGTGTATATGTATGTATATGTACATATAAAGAAAATATTTCATTGGGATGGCTGGCTTACAGTTTCAGAGGTTCAGTTCATTATCATCATGGCAGGGAGCATGATGGTGTCCAGGCAAACATGGTGATCCACAGGCAACAGGAAGTGAACTATGTCCCACACTGGACATAGCTTGAGCGTAGGAACCTCAAGTCCCACCCCCACATTGGCATACTTCCTCCAACAAGGCCATACCTACTCCAATAAAGCCACACCTCCTAATAGTGCCACTCCCTATGAGCTTATGAGGGTCAATTACACTCAAATTACCACACTGTGGAAAGTGACTAGTTCCAAACCTTCACTCCTCGTGATAGTTACCCACCCCACTCTTATTATGGCTTCATAGTGGACAGAGGCATTTACAAGGCAGTTGCCTTTGGGCTTATCTGTGCATTTGCCAAATAAATTTTTTACACAACACCACAAAGCCCATCTTTAGGCCTGTGAGCATCAAATACACGTTGTTGAGAGCTATTGGGATTCCAAAGTTGTTTGTTATATGCATCATGGCTACACAATACTCTTTTAGGCCCCTTCCAGTGCCTTCATTTTAAGACTCTGATTGTTACTAAAATCTGGGAGAAATGCTCAGTTGGTAAACTGCTTATCACATGAGCATAAGGACTTGAGTTTGATCCCCAGTGCCCAAGGAACAGGAGCTTTCTGGTCAATAAAAAAAAATACCCTGTCTCAAAATCAAGGTGAATAGCACCTGAGGAATGCCACTCAAGGCTGAGCTCAAACCTTCACATACACATGCATATATGTGTGTGCATACCTGCCCACACACATACACCCACAAAAACACCACACACACACACACACACACACACAAAACTTCTGGGAGAATTTTTACAAAGTCTCAAAAGCTACTTCATCCTATCTCTTTGAAGACTGAATTCACGATACCGAGTTAAGCTGAATATTACACTCCTTGAGGTTCAGCTATTGCACCTCAAAGGAATTACATAAGTGGGAGCAGATGGTGGTCCCTTTTCTGTTAAGGGCCAAATAGTAAATATTTTCAGTTTTGTGTGCTGTGCAGTCTCTGTTGTAATCACTTAATTAATCCTACTGTTTTAGACGAAAGCAGTGGTAAACAACACATCAATGAGTGCCAGTGGCCACATTCCAGCAAAAGTTTATAATGGACACTAAAATGTGAGTTTCGTTTCATTTTCACTTATCACAAAATAGTCTTCTTATATTTTATAAAAGTGTTTATATTGGCTGGGCAGTGGTGGCGCATGCCTTTAATCCCAGCACTTGGGAGGCAAAGGCAGGCGGATCTCTGTGAGTTCGAGGCCAGGCTGGACCGACCAAAAAAAAAAAGTGTTTATATTAACATGTGTATAAAATGTTTACATTAAAATATTAAAGCCATTCATCAGTGGATGAAATGAAGGACAAAATACATCATATACATCCAACGGAATATTACTCAGTCTAAAAATAGGAAGAAAATTCTATCATCCATGGTAGTTCTCACCTGTAATCTCAGCACTCTGGAGGCTGAGACAGGAGGATCTCCATGAGCTCGAGGCCAGCCTGAGTTATATACATAGTAAGACTTTGTCTTAAAACAGATAGAAAGATAGAAAGAATTTTTCATGATGACTCAACATGGGTGACCCCTGAAGATATTGTTCTTACTGGAATAGACTGGACACATAAGAGCAAACATATTATTCTACATCAAGTGCCTAATACAGTCAAATCGAAAACAAAAGAAAATGGGGACTAGGGGCAGAGATTTTGTGTTTTGCTCTTTGTTTTGTTTTTAATATAAATAACTTTTTCTACCTTTGACAAAAGCCGAGTTAGTGATTACTATCATTTTTCTAACCTTGTAGTATCCTGGGATGCAGTAAAGATACAGAGTAGGCTCTCAGGCTCTTGTTTGAGATCTGTGAAACCTTCAGTGGCCTAAGGTGTCAGATATCTTGGAAGCGGAGTTATAAGTGATTGTGAGTTGCCCAGTGTGGGTGCTGGGAACTGAATTTGAGTCCTCTGAAGAGAAATATGTGCTCATAGCCATTAAGTCATCGCTCCAGGCCTTTCTTGCGATTTTTATGTCTGAGAATTTGTAGAATTTTGGCCAAGGTAGAAAATTGTTCAGTTACTGTTTTTCTAACACATTTATCCCCCACCGTCATCATTTCTTCTTTTTTTTTTCAGGGACTCATATTGACATTAGGCACAGTTGATTGAAACTCCTTGTGTTTGTTTCAATGTTCCCTATTTCCTACGTCTTCACGTTCACTGATCTACCTCTTGTGTCTAATGTGCTTTGTTCAGCCCCCGTCCTTTTTCATCTCTCCAAATTTGATTTGATCTTTCTCGAATTACTCAGGTCTCTTGGGAACATGCTCATAGTCTCTTCTGCCTCCACCTTGGGCTTACGAAGTCAATTTCTCACAGTTGTTTTAATATCCTTATCTGATAAATCTATCACCTAGGACACTTCTGGATCTGTTTCTACTGATTGCTTCTCCTCCTCAATTGTGGCGCATGCTTTTTCGACTTCTTTACATTCCTGGCAATTCTGCTGAACCCTTTGAATTTTATATTGTTGAATACTGTCATCGTTAGGTTTAGTTGTCAACTTGACACACCTGCAAGAGTGAATCTTGCTGGAGAAATTGCTTCCATCAGATTGCTTTGTGAGTGTGTCTGTGGGACATTTTCTTCATTGTTAATTGATGTATGAGGGTCCAGCCCACTGTGGGTGGAACCATCCCTAGACAGTTGGGCCTGCGCAATATGAGTTAACTGACCAGAGCCATAAGCAGCACTCCTCTGTGGTGGTCTCAGCTTCAGCTCCATGATGAACTGTTTAACCTGTAAGTGTAAATAAACCCTTTCATCCTCAGTTTGCTTCTGGTCATGGTGCTTAATCACAGCAAAAGAAAGCACATTTTCATATTCTTTTAAATAGTTCTAAACTTTGAGTTTAGTTTGCTAAGTCACTGGAAACAATTTGAGTTTTCATGGCATGCTTTTAACGTGGTTAAGCAAGCTTAGTCACCACCGAGGCAACAATCCTCTCAGGATTCTGATCAATGCCTTATGAGTTGGGAGGTTGTGGATTCCTTCCACAGTTTGGGTCCTGGAACCCTGACGAAGAGTAGTTAGTCAATGAAGAAATGACGAACACACATACACAGATCAGGCAGCCTGGGGCCTCTGATGGAGACAGAAATGCAGCGTGTTTGTCATAGACAGTGGAACAGGGAGGCAGGATTATTGCATAATGAATCAAGGAGGCACACTTTATGGTATACAGCTGAATCAAGTGGACAGGTTTAGCTAATCTCGGTAAGGAGCTCTCTGTGAGGAAGCAGTCTTCAGGCTGTAAATATAGAGGCAGTGAGCTAGGATGCACAGTTTTTGCATACACTATCAACATCCATGAGCAGACCAGAGAAAGGCTTTGCTGGTCCTCTGAGCCTCACCCAAGGGGAAGGCTTTGCCATTATCCCATGGGTCTGAGGCTTCAGTCCTTGACACACTCAGGGTTTTCTCTAGAAGTTCCCTTGTGTAAGTGTGCTAAGCAATATTTATCTAAGACCTGCAAAGTCCCCCCTCTCTCATTCTGTGTGTGTGTCTGTCTGTCTGTCTGTCTGTCTGTGTGTGTGTGTATCTGTGTTTCTGTCTGCCTGACTGTCTGTCTCACTCCACTCTGCCTTGCCTTCACCAAACTCTCAACTGAGGAGCACTGTCAGGTTCTGTGTTTTTCCACTGTATCAAGTGTCCTCTCCTTTGGTTCAGCTAACACCCTTGGGGGAAAAAAGGAAGCTGAGCATGCTCACTGGGCTTCAGGAGTTGGTGTTTAATAGCTAGGGTTTCTGTTCAGCATGATAAGAAAGCTCTGAGGGGACCTGTGGGAGACGGCTTCAGCCTGTGGGAAAGTGCCTACAGAACAAGAACGAGAACCTCAGTGCTATCACCAACATCCAGGTACAGCAACATGCCCCGTCATCCTAGCACTGGGAAGGTGGACAAATGTAGATCCTGAGAGCTGGCTAGGAGTTAATCTAGCCAAACTGGCAGGCTACAGGTTTCAGTGAGGGACCCTGTTTAAAAAAAAAAAAAACACGGTGGATGGGCTTGGGAGTTGGTTCAGTGTGTAAAAGTACTTCTCATGCAAGCCTGAAGATCCAAGCTGATCCCCAAAGCCCACATAAAAAGATATATGGCGTGCCATACATCTGTAATCCCAGCACTCCTGGAAGTGGGAAGCACAGATGGCAGCATCACTCAGAAGCTCACAGGCCCCCTAGCCTGGAATGCACTGCATAGCAACAGAAGGCAGAGAGACACTGCCTGAACAAGGTGGAAGGAACCAGCTCCCAAAATTGACCTCTGACCTCCACTGGATAACTAAAGCACACACGCACTTGGGCTTGCTCTCTCCTCCCCCATACGTGAATACAAGTAAGTTCTGGCAAGATCTCTCAATTGATAAAGATGCTGTTCCAAGCCTGACGACTTCAGTCAGATCCCGGAACCCCCAGGGCAGGAAGAGGGAAATGATTCCCGAAAGTTGTCTCTGACCTCCACAGGCACATTGTGACACACTTGTGCCACCCCCAACACACACAGAGAGAGAGAGAGAGAGAGAGAGAGAGAGAGAGAGAGAGAGAGAGAGAGAGAGAGAGAGAGAGAGAGAGAGAGAAATCAGTGTAACACAGATTTTTCAAAAGTGAAGATTAGAGAAAACCGTGATATCTACCTCCGCACACCTGTGTACATGTGCACATGCTCAAGAAGAAAGAAAAACCTGTGCAGATGGAGGGGGTGAGATACACAGCAATGTGAATGTTACACGTATTTCATCCTAATTTTCAGTTTCAAACAGAAGATGTGCATGAGGGCAGGAGAGGCGGCTCAGCTGGTGAAGAAGCTGCTGCCGAGACTGACCAAGACCTGAGTTTGATCCCCAGGGCTCTCACAGTAGGAGGAGAAGTCTGGTTTCCACATGCTCACGTGCACTGTGATGATAGACACACGCATGCGCACACTAAATAAAATCATGCTTTAAAGTGTAAAAGAAGGTGTATGAAAATATCAATGTGTGGCCCCTTACAAAAAAACTCTTGGCAGCCAGATCTTTCTCTGGAAGCTATAGAGTTGGCAGTCCTATAGCCCTAAAGAAACACACACACACACACACACACACACACACACACACACACACACACACACACCAGAAGATAGCCACAGGAGTCCTATAGCATCATCCAGAATGTGAAAAGGAGAAGCAGCCAAACTTTCGTCTGCAGGAAAGTGGGGAGCACACTGTGAGTATTTATACAATGGAGTATCCAGTGAGAAGTTCCAGTTTATACCTGAAATTTAAAACCCTATTAGATGATGCTATATTATATTAATGGATACATAAATATGTAGTAACAGAATTAAACATACACGGGGTGATAAGCACCTGATTCATGATGATAGTTACATCTGAGGAAGAAGGAGGAAAGCCAGGTTGGGAGTAGGATATACAACTAAATTATGTCAGCAATGTTTTACTCCTTTAAATGAGATCTGATACACATATGACACAATGTTAAGATCTGACACAATTTAATGGTGGGTAAATTATGCTTTTTTTCAATTCTTGTCTGATCTTTGAAACGTTTTGTGATGAAAAAAAGTTAATTTTAAAAAGCAAAGGGAAGAACATTTTAAGGAGAAAAGAAATTATCAGTCTCAAAACATGTCATCAGGAGCAGCAGGAATAGAGATAGAATTATCAACCAGACTTCTCCAGCTCCCCACATAGAGTTTGGATGAACAATACACAGAGACCCACATTTCAAACCAAACAAGCTGGCCCTCTATAACTACGGAGGGAAAGTTGACAGAACTCAGTGTCTGAGTGCCACACTCTAAAGCCACAACCCAGATTTCCAGATTTCTAGAGGGAAGCCCACCCATACCCTAAAGCATGAGAGGTTATTTTTTTAAAGATGGAGTCAAGTTTTAGTAACTTTATTCATGCCTGATGCAATTGCTTTGGAGTGAGAAAGCCTTATTATTTTAATTTTCATTGAATATCGCAACTTATGTTACATTTTTGTGGTTGAGGGTATAAATTTTTTCCTGTTTCTACAAATATTCTTTCCTAAAGAAAAGGAAAAGACATTAAACTT